CATGGCTACAGAACCTGGCTGGAGAACCTGGAGAACGTGGCTGGAGAACCTAGCAAGAGAACATGGGCACAGAACCTGGCTGGAGATCCTAACCAGAACTTCGCTGGAGATCCTAACCAGAACTTGGCTGGAGATCCTGGCTAGGCTGCTGATCAACTGAACGCTGTCTCTGTGTCATTCCTTCTTCGCCGACTCCGTCCACACCTATGGGGAACCCCTGGACCTGCTGGGGTTGGACCCCAGCATTTTAGCAAAAAAATTAAATCAAGTATGGAAAAATATTAGTAAATGTAAAATCTAAATGATGAGTTATATATAGGAGTTATGTTCTGTCTTCTTTTATGTTTGTTTGAAAATGTCCAATGTTTCATAATTTTAAAAACTAAGCAAATGAAATAAGAGGTTATTATTAACTTCTGGTCAGGGAGGAGTTAAATAAGAAAATGTGATCATAATTTGTTATTTATTTCAGCAGCAAATAACATGTATAGAGACTAATTTTGCTATCAAATACTGATTTCAAAATTGAGAGGATGACAGGAGGGGAAAGTTGCCAGAGGAGGAGGAAGAGGATATTAGTTTAAATTTTCACCCATCATAAAGTCAGTAAAAAATTGTTAAGTCAAGAAAAGAAATATAAACAATATAATTTCAGGAAAAATAGCTTTAAGAGTTGAAAACATTTACCTGGAGGGAGCAGGACTGTAGGATTAAGGAGAGGACAAGCAGGGGATTACTAATTTTCATTGCCCCAGAAAAAGGTTAAGAAACAGAAAGCAATACATAATCTTACTTCCCAGAGACTTCCCTTTGTATGCTATGTGCCTTTTAAAATTATGTACACTATTTTAATACAAATAAAATTAATTTCTAAATAATCTTAATATTTTTATTATATCAAATATTTCATGGTTCCAAAATAATGTTTGATATGATTATCTTATGACCAAATTAATCTGTCCTAAAATTATATGAGTAAAGGTTTTCTAAAGTTGGATACCAGAAAAGATCGATTCAAGGGTAGCATAATTCTGCATTATAGTAAAAATTTATTGTGAGAAACTGAGCTTTAGTTGTTGCCCATGGGAACAATAAAATGCCTCCTTTCAGGCCTGCAATTGCTGTTAGTAGCTTGATCCTTAAAAGGGATTTTCACAGTTTATCAATTCCTTACTTTATATTTCTTTACTATGATTTACATTTGGATTGCCTTATGTTTTTATTCACTAGATATATTTTATAGCTCATAAGCAGTTTATTTTTCATATCTTTTATATCAAATATCTCTATCTGTATATTAAATTTTAACCCCAAAACACTGGTAAATCTGGTTTAACTATAGTTTACCACATATAATGTTTTGCTGAACATAAATTTCAGGAGCTATCCTCATGTCTTTTATGCCCTAACTCATTTCTGTTAAATTTATGTTTTAGATCTAGTACACACAGAGGGGCAGCTTCAAAATGAAGAAATTATGGTAAGTAAATATACTCTGTAGAGATAAATATCATCTTTAGCCAGCACAATATGTTTAAGTTTTAAACCTATTTCTATAGTAATAAAGTTAATAAATACTCTCATGATAGTATAGGTTCTGTACTTAATCAATAAACAGGTTATTCTCAATAATATTATAGTCTAAAGGTAGCATTTATAAATTAGGCTTTTATCTATCATAGATAGGATTTCAGTAAGAATAAAACAGAATTATTCACTTTTAAATATATTTTTATTGGTTTCAGAGAAGAAGAGAGGGAGAGAGAGAGAGAAACATCAATGATGAGAGAGAATCTTTGATTGGCTGCCTCCTGCACGCCCCCTACTGGGGATCAAGCCCACAACTCAGGCATGTGCCCTTGACTGGAATTGAACCTGGGACCCTTCTGTCTGCAGGCTGACGCTCTATCCACTGAGCCAAACCAGCTAGGGCATGAATTATTCACTTTTTAAAAATATATATCTTTATTGATTTCAGAGAGGAAGGGAAAGGGGAAGAGAGATAGAAACATCAATGATGAGAGAAAATCATTGATTGGCTGCCTCCTGCACATCCCCCACTGGGGATCAAGCCTGCAACCCAAGCATGTGCCTTTGACAGGTATTGAACCTAGGACCCTTCAGTCCACAGGCTGACACTGTATCCACTGAGCCAAACCAGCTAGGGCCAGAATTCACTTGTTTTTGTTTTAACTGTGCTCATTTTTTAAATTGGAAGTATTTACTTGCTTTGCTTTCTTTCATTTGATTCTGTAGGCCTTTTAGAGTAGGAATCATAAAATGTTGAGATGCCAAAGCTGAATGTTAATTTAAGCATGAAAGGACAAGGGAGATTCAGATAAGGGGAACTGGAGCATAGGATCAGCAACAAATAAACCAAAGAGAGATGGGGTGGAAACAAGCATTTGTCGACAGCATTCCATTGAGCTTTGCTTGTCAAGTGGAACGAATGCCCATTGATGAGGAAGTACTGCCGCATCAGGAGTTTCTCTGTTCCTGCCAGTTTGTCAGGCTCTGGGTTTAGACAAACACAAAAACGTGGAAAAAGTGAATATGTGTTTGTGTGTTTTATCTTCTCCCAAGGATATGTGTTTTTTTTTTTAATTGATTTTTAGAGATAAAGGAAGAGAAAGAGAGAGAAACAACGATTGGTTGCTTCCCATATGCACCCCAACCAAGGATCGAACCCCCTGACCTAAAATCAAACCTACAACCTTTGGTGTATCTACGACACTCCAAACAACTGAGTGTTCTGGCCAAAGGCAATGTGTGTGTGTGTGTGTTTAAAGGTGGCAGTGTTTGTTTAATTAAGGTTTCTTGAAATGATAGTTAAAGTGGTACCTTGTCCATTAAATTTCCTTTTTCACAACTTGTTGGGAGCTGCTATGAAACCTGTACTTCAAAAGAGTCTACAGGATGTTTTTGAATCCTATTCATTCTTTTCTTTACCACCCAAATGTGCCCAATGATTGGGAAGGTGAGTTGGGGTACAGGGGAGTTGAAAAACTATTAGACTGAATTTGATCTTCCTATTTTTATCCATCTTTACCAACAGGTTATGATTAGTAAGTCTCTGCTGAATATTTTGTTTCAGGACCCTCTAAGGATCAGAGAAGCTCACATCATTATAGAACATTTGGAAAATAATAAGGGGGTTGGGAGGCTGAATATAACTCACCATTTTATCACCCTGTCATAACAGCTTTTTCTATATCTATTTTCTTCAAGTAATCAACCATGTGCTTTGCATATAGTTATAATAGTAATGTATGAACAATTTTGTATCATTTTTAAAACTTACTATCTACAAGCTTCATAATTTTAAGATTAAACATATGCAAATAGGCAAATGCTAACTAATTTCCTTTTTCCTCCGTCATTATAAGTTCTACCACAAGGAACATCTTATGCATGTTCCCACTACCACGATCTTCACCTTTTTAGTTATTTCACAAGATTAGATTTCAGAGAATGAAATTACTAGGTTGAAAGATAAAGACATATTTATAGCTTTTTAATATATTGCCAAATTGCTTTCCTGAAAAATTACATAAATGTAAAAATATAGTAATGTTTCAGGGTATCATATTTTGAGGCATCTTTAACCAAAAGAAATGTTTTGTTATGAAAAATACTTTAGAAAAACACTTTGAAAAAATTGATCAGAAATGTACAGTTGTAGCCTGGCCAGTGTAGCTCAGTGGTTGAGCATCAACCTATAAACCAGGAGGTCACAGTTCGATTCCCGGTCAGGGCACATGCCCAGGTTGCGGGCTTGATCTCCCTTGTGGGGCATGGCATGTAGGAGGCAGCCGATGAATGATTCTCTCTCATCATTGATGTTTCTCTCTCTCCCTCTCCCTTCCTCTCTGAAATCAATAAAAATATTTTTTAAAAAAGAAAATAAATATACAGTTGTAATTTTTAGCTCCATCAGCCATTTTACATCAAACCAAGGCTGTTATTTAGCTAATACACACTAGAATGACTGTACTGTTATATGTGGCTGGCTTCTCTTCTGAATATTATATTGTAAATTGTTGTATATTTAGACTATACTCTTGCATCAAACCCTTTTTTCTGCTAACTGCTTAACAGTTAATTAGAACTGCTAAGAGCATTCTTATTGATTTTTCCCCTACAGGCAAATGATGGCCATGCCACTTACTTGAGATTCATTATTACATCAGCCTTTGATCATTTTGCATCTGTGTATAGCGTTTCTGCAGAGGGAATAGCAGTCTCAAATCTTTCATAATAATTATAACAAAATGCTTTTGTATGTTTCTTAACAATGTATTTATTTTAAAATAAAGTTGCCACTGATGTACTTTATTTAAGGGATTTGCATCAACCTGTTTCAGTTTTTATTTTCTCTTTAACATTTTGTACAAAGGAACTTTGGTATGATCGGTCAGCAGTAATGGCCACCATGGAGGATATAAGAAAGCTTTTCCTTTAATATATAGCTTAATCAAGGAAGTGGCTGTACATGAAAACCTAATTGGTAATACATTGTATTCCCAACAGCATCTAATAAGGTGTCCTTCCTGTCTCAGTGCATTAATTTTTAAATTTATTGATTGATTTATTGATGCAAAGAATTAAGTGAGCAGTATAGTCAGTAAACTGAACAATGTATAAGTTCAGAAAAAGAGAAAGTACTTATGGGCATGTTTCACTGAGGTCACGGAACTTGAATTGGGCCCTGCAGGACAAATCACTTTATTCTTTTTCTTTTCATTTTATTTGGTCCTGATTTGAAATCCTCAGAGAAGAGTTAGGAAATACATAATCTTACTTTCCAGAAACACCCATTATTGATATTATTTTTTATAAGTATTTTGGATGGTAAAGGAACAGGATGGGACAGATTGGGGGGGAAGCTATACTTTATTATATTTCATTTCTAGGAATCTATTCTAATGAAATAATCAGATAAATGACAAGTGGACCAAGTTTTATAGCAATGCTATTTATAAGATGGGCAACTGGAAATGACTGTGCATCCATATATTAGAAAGTATGATATGTATGGTCGTCATATATTAAACTTTGTAACGGGAAATTATATATATTTCTGCTTAAAGATGGTGGAGTGAATGGAATTTTACACCATCCTCTTTCTCAAAAGTCATTGTTGACAACAAAAAATTTTAAAAAGAAAGAGAAAAGAGTTTTAGCTTCCAAGGAGATTGTTACAACCTCTAACTGGAAAACATACTCGCTAAGGACTGTGACATCAAGATTTGGTGAAGGAGGTGGGAGCTGAGACCTGACTTGCTTTCTCAGAGCTAGAGACTATATCTTAAACATGTGAGTTATGAAAGGCTTAGCCAACAATCTGTTGATTAAGTTGACACACTCTCCATCTGCAGTGGCTTCAGGAGAATAGAGAATGTCCCCGTGGTTCTCAGGTTAGTAAAACTGCAGAGGAGATGGAGCTGAAGGCGAAACCAGGCAGGATACACCAGAGCAGACCGCTGGAGGTACAGAATGGTGAAGGGAAGTGTTTTAGATAGCTCAGGCTGCCATAACATCCATATATTAGAAAGTATGATATAGCATAGGCTTAAGTAACAGACATTTATTTCCTCATAGTTATGGAGGCTCTCAAAGGAGAACTATAAGGATTTAAAGAAAAAATTGACAGAGGATGAAAAGTGAGCTGGCAGAGCTAAGAAATGGAAGAGAATAATAAAATGTCTCAGAGGTGAAAGCACATAAGAAGTAAAGGGATGATGGTGGCAATTGTAGCAGTCAATGTTCATGCCGGGAGCCGGTCCATCCTTGCTGTTTCAAGGGACCTGGCATATATGGCATACTGTTCTTAATATATTTGCTCACCTTCTTGGCACTGTGTTTTAACCAAGGTCACCTCTCCGAGAAAGGTTGTTTCCCCAGTAGAGATTTTCCCCTGAAGTTAGGGAGGGAATAAAACCCCTTCACTAAGTGCCAGGCGGGTAATTAATCTC